GGTGACACGTTTTACGCCGTGAAGCTGCTGCTAGCTCCTTATACCTAATCTTTCCTCTCTTTTCCCGAGCTTACTACCGACGAAGCAAGGTTTAAAAGTGCGTCGACAGTGAATCGAACCTCCGACCAACCACCAAGTGAGGCGTATATAGCTGGCAACCAACGACTCACTATCATAGAATAGTTGGTCGACAGGTGGTCTGTAGTGTATGCTACTCCTAAAAAAGCGGATAACAGAACTGCGAACGCAAAGTGATAACCCTGGGAAGAACCTAATAAAAACAACAGATAATGATGGCTCAAATATGCTTTGTATGGAATAGATGATTTTGTTTTGCGGTCTAATTTTGCGCTTCCCGTTGATTGATTATGTTGGCGTTTGAAAAGATAGCCGCTGGGTTCGAATCTCAGGGGAAATGCTATTTGTTACTCACACTGGGAATGTAGGTGCACCTAGATGGTGAGCCTTAAACACTGGGCGAAATTCTCATAGTGAACTCAACTGCTAGTCACCATCCACCATATAACACGCAAATTAATCCTCAAACATCGTCCGATCATATGCGATGGTATGGAGTGTGATGTAACTTGCATGCCTCAATAGCGTATATCATATCCATCCCAATATTCTTCAGCATAAACATTGAGCAGTGCTGACGAACTGACTGGTTTCAATATATGACTTTGTACATAACCGCAGCAGTTCCAGTTGAGGCACTCCATGCAGAACACAAAGGGATACAAAAGTAAGAAAAGAGATTCGAAAGAACGATAATAAACCGAAATGTTGGGAAGACAGACTGGGAACATGGGAAAAACAATGAGGTTTCATTGTATTGGACAAATCACAAATAGTGAATCCATGTACGCCAGCCATTGACAAAGAAAATTTTGAGCCATATCACTAATTGTCTCTAGCTATTGCTTCTTAGAATCCATAGGACTACAGCCAGGAAGTCCACACCTCCCTATGTAGCTTAAAGTAATCGGTATGGATTCCATTGGCTGATGAAGCCATTTTTTGATTTGACCACCACTAGTTCTTTTCCAACCTGACCCTATGCTATCTAACGTTGCTCGTCGAGGAAGGCGATGGATAAGCGTGAGTAACACATCTCCTAACCATCTCAGTCGATGTAACTTCACAACCTCCTCGAATTATTTTCCCTCCTTACCTAAAACTCAACACCTAACTTGGATATTATTCAGTGTATTATACCACCTAACACGTCAGAAAGAACACATACACCAATAAGCCAAAGGTAGCTTGTCTTTTCACATATCCTCTACGTTCAATGGCCATGTCTCATAGTCATAAATGGAGGCAGAGCAAACTTTTGTGCAGTACGCACATCATTTAGTCGATAGCTGGATATCACATCTACTTCAAAGATGGAGAAAGTTGACAGGCAAATGCCAAAACAAGTTTTCTATATCTATTCAGAGTTTACGTCAGCTCTCAACCCGCTAGAGTAGGCTGATGCAGCCCCCCAAATAAGGGAAGTGGTCACCACGCTCCACCACCCACTTCACAACCATCTATCTTTAAGCTAGCAGTAGTCTGTGTAGTTCGGTCCTGTGATGTCATATTATATTTGATAACAGCGAATCGCGTGTCAAACATTAGGAAATTTCCGCTCAGCTCAAGGTCTTCAGAAAACTCTGAGTTTTATTATCACCATCTTCTCTTCGGGGGATGACGTCATTCAGAAGACTATGCCATGGTAACAAGTCAATCTATGTAGGCAGCTGAAGTCATTTAGAGTGACATCACGTACGATGCCATCCAATGGAACCCAATTGAGAAACAAAACGAGTTGGGCACCCGAGAGTGACAAGGGGGAGAATGTATGAAAAGGAAACGAATGAAGCCAGTCAGCTAAAAGAAACTGCAGAGAACAGGATGAAATGGCCATTTGCAGCCCCATGTTCCAACCAGAACCCGAATGAATAATGATAATAATACTTAACAATTTCGCCTATCTCAAAACAGTGAACCAATAGAATACAAACTTGAAACGACATATTGAGTGTGAGACAAAAATAAATAACAATGAAACACAAAATCCTTCCACTATTCATTCATTTGTATCAGTTGGAATAAGTGTTGATTGATTAAAACAAAACCAACTTCACTTAAAATTGGACACAAGTTAGTAACTAGTGTAATGTGTCTAATTCTTTGTGTGGTGCGGGCTGAATTCTGTCAGTCATGTTTGCAGTATGGCCACGATACTATACGGCTCGCCATCACCGTTCAGTTTGAATTGTTCGTATTAGATGGTTGGAGGTAATCGGCATGAAGCCCTACCTGTGAACACAGTTTACGTGTTAGCTGACACACTCAGCGGTCAACAACGCTCGAACCCGCGTCAACCAGCGCTGATGCAGTTGGAGACGTTACCAAAACTGAGCTTTTTGGGCTCGTGATTGTCCTCCTGTAGGACTATATTGGATGCTTAGATTGAACACTATATTTATTTATTTATTTTTTGATTACAGCTTGATTCCGCACAGTACTTTCTGGGAGAAGTATGGGATTTTCAGCATGTGGTATTGATAGCTCCAATTTTGCAGGCCGACCATAGATATCAGGCGTGCGTCGGCAGGGGATCGAACCTCTGACCATGTGCATGGTCGGCGAGAGTCCTAACCACTGTGCCACCAACGCACACAATAATGAACACCAGTTAGTGAGACTGCATTACTGAATGATGCAGGTTCGAATATCAGAAGGGAAATGAGTCCCTTGAAGAGTGCATATACGCCTTGATGACTGGTGAATGCCCATTAGCACCAAACCTAAGCCTAACCAGGGCTTCCTGTGACCGACTGCCTCCAACCATCGAATACAAAATAACTTTATTCACCACACAGTAGTTTGAATAGAGTTCAGAAGCTTATCATTTTGATCATTATAGAGATCAAGGTTGGATAAAAAGACAAACGAATTCTTATCATAATTTACTCCACATTACTCAAATTGTTTACATATCACAAAAATCAAATTACAGGTTGAATCTTCGCTTTTTGGTGTCTGTCACACACACACACACACGAGTCAAACTTGTGCTATCACCACAAGATGATTGGATGACTCTTCGTGCGTATGATACACACACACACAAACACACCAAGTTTTGTGTATTAGCACACACAATTTTGCATGTTTTGCTTGTGACAAGTTTGCATAAATTTTTTGACAAAAATGAATTGTCCTAAATTTCATTCTCAAAGTTTGTTTATATTTATAGATAAGTATATGCGTAGTGTTGACATACAAATACAGAATTAATGTATACAGACCCAGTGACACAGACACCCCACTCAACTACCATCACACATAAGCAGGCGCACACAAAGACAGCATACACAGTAGTCCTCTCTCTCTCTATATATATATATATATATATATATATATACATATATATACATATATATATATATATATATATATCATCTATTGGACACAAAAACAATGTCAAATGTAAACATGTCATCCAAAAGTTAGACAAACTAATGATAAACCACTACTACTATATGTGAAAGAAAGTTTTCATAGAACTAGAATCTTGATTTGATTGTATTCTCCCTAAGTTAGCTAGTTGTTTTGATTGCGGACGTTTTATTGTTCATCTAGACAACATTTTCAGAGCAAGCTTTAATACGAAATGAACTTATTGGTAGATATAATTGTATCTCCTAACAGCTTTTGTTGCAATTGATTCATCACCTAACAAATGGCCAGGGAAGTAGAAAAGAATTCTTCTATGTATGTTAAAAAAAGCCTATATATATACGACTACAATTTAAAGTGGATTTTACCAAGTGAAATAATAACCAATAAAATAAGTCGATTCAAATAACATTTAATGCCGGAAAGCTGCAGATTATACTTTCCACACGACCACTGGTTGTGATTATTGACTAGTCCCTCCCCCACCTAGTTGTATCTATTAATTCAACAGCTCCTACCAATTCGTAATTTAACGCGGCCAACAATCCGTGGGCAAACTCGAAAGAAAAAAATCTAATCCTTACAAATCAACTATTGAAAATTAATCTAATGCTCACTAGTGACTTGCTACAGGATGGAGTTTCCAGGAGTTCTAATGAGAACCCGTGACCAGCGAGGTCCATGGAGACGTCACATGTGAGGATGGATGCCCCATCGACGACATTGGTTGATGTCACGCTAAATCATGAATTGGTAGAAGTTATAATTCATGCGTTGGCCATTGAATCGGGTCCCAGTGGCTGAATGGTATACGAGGTAGCTGGCCTTGTAACCGGAAGGTCCTGGGTCCGAACCCCAGTGAGTGAGTACTGTCGATGATTCACACACTAGGACGAAACAGCTATCCGGTACTCCTAGGTGGTTTCCAATGGTTCTCTAACTTATGTCAATCCGTGGCCAAATTCGGAAAACAAATCAAATTATTATACACCAACTCTTGAAACTGACGAAGAATTTATCTAAAAGAATGCTCATTGTTCATTAATCAGCCCTCTGTATACTAATGTGTCTGTTAATCGATGATTCATCGTCTGAGTACCAGACTTCTAGAAATTCCTTAGCAAGCTTTGTGTTTCCACCTTTTAAAATTTCTACATTTTCCCAATCGAAATTGCTGCGCATAATTGTCTATATGCGTCGATATGAAAGAATTTATACCGTGCTTTTTTACCAAAGCTAATTTACCATATTCTTGAATTGTGAATCGAAAGAGAGGTCAGTTCGATCACTATAGTGTTTATCGCAATTCTAATTAGTCCACTTCATATTAAAGCTTGCGCTGAAGGTGTTGTCTAGATCAATAATGAAACGTTCGCAGATAAATCGACCAGCTCTGGTAGAATACAACCATATCAACAATCACTTCCTCCTGATCTACAATTATTTCAAAACTAGAATTTACACTATTATAAAAAGGCATCAAGTGTTATTATCACAGTAGTACAAAAATACTTTTTTTTTTAAATTTGTTTTCATCAACTTACTTAACTTTCTTTTGAGAATACTGAACTGTTAACTCATCAATGAGTTTAGCATCTAAAACAGGAAATGGTGTTTGATGAATACGTTTGTGGGCTTCAACAGCTTCATCGGGCAAGATTTGTGTTGCTGGCTGGTCACCACATTCCTACAGAAGGGGGAGAAAATCCCAACAATATAAGTCGCAAAAAAAAACAAAAAACAAAAGTGAGAGTGTAGTGGATAGTTAGAAATAAAACAGCTGTCCAGTACTACCCCCACCACCCATCTTCACTCCTGACTTTCAATGGCCGTCTAACTGAAGTCAGTTCAACATGTATAATCTGCAGACCCTCAAAAAAGGAATAATTCAGAATTCTCGATCATCACAGTCATCTTCATATCTACCACCAGAAAAAAAGGCGCTATATCATTCACTTTCAGTTTCAAATACACACATTAGAAAAGACTGGGTATACACGTCCCAATGTGTATCTATCTGAGAGTAATATGGTAACACACAGTCCAGCTTTAGACACCCAAGAGGCGCAGACACACTGATGACTTTGGAACAAGAAATTGTTCGAAATTCGAGAACCTTACAACTTGAAACCAACAAGTTCAGAGAAGAAAACGGAGGTTGGTGATTTTTCACCACAAACAAGAGTAACAGCGGGCGAGAACCAGTCACAATATCAATGCAAGAAATCTGAAAGAGGTCAATTCCTTCGCTTATCTAGGCACCATCATTTCAACCACAGACAACAACACCACGGATGAGAATTTCAAAACCAGAATCGTAGAGGTGAGGGAGACCTTCATCAATCTTGAAATTAGTTTAGATATCTCCTGCGCTCAGCATAAACAACAAGATTCGAATTTTTAACGCTGACACTAAATCAGTCACTTCGCCTATATATGGGTCAGAAACTTGCATTGTGCGTCACGAAAAGGATTTCAAACAGATTGGAGACTTTTATCAACATCTGAAGATCAGATGGCTAGCCAGAAATAAGCCGTAAAATATCGGACAAACGCTGAGGAGACCGTCGCGGCGTAACGTCGTACGCCAGGCCATTGAGTAGAACCCTAATGGGAAACGACGAGTTGGGCGTGGGTCCGAGGGTGATATGGAGGAGATCATGTGAAAGCTTATGGGCAATCGTGTGGTAAACTGAAGAGGACCCCACAGAGAATAGGACAAAGTGGAATAGTAATAATAATAATAATAATAATAGCCCTAACCTATCCCTAACCTTTTCCATGCCTTAACATAACCTAACAACAACTAGATGACCTGTTTGGTAGCATTACACTTCCTTGAACACTTTTCTTCCTAAAATATTGCGTTGTTTATCTGATTTTACTGTTGCGATCTGACTAAGCGTTCCAAGGTTATCGATGCATTTACGCCTGTTGAGTCAGAATACTATTATACTGTAACAACTCAATGAAGTAAAAATAACTTTTTCGAAAATCAGCTTCAATCACCTTTGATGGTGTTAATATCTTAAGTGTGAATGTGATCAGTCATGTGTGCGTGTGTTTGTGTGTTAACTAAAGTTAATCATCACATGTTTTATTCGTATTCATGAGTAAAACAAACAAAAAAATTAGTCTTCATATGATTGGTTGACTAACTTCTCTTGTTGTTGGTATGAGACAAAATCAATGTTGATATATGTCTGCAACACTGTATACATATATAAACTCAGTCAATCTTTAACTAACTAACCTCCAGAAAATTGTGATCAATATATATCAACAGAATAATGAAATGCTAATCATTGAAAGCTTTTTTTCTTAAATACACGATGAAATATCAGTACTTGGAATATATTTTTACTTGCAAATTGTTGACAGAAGTAATGATAAGTAAAATTTATTACAACTACATTGAGTTCTGAGTGCTCTACTTCGACCTCTCTTCTCCAGTCAAATTCACGAACTTGAATAAGCTCTAATCTTCCCTTCACAATATCTCGTGTACTCACCATTCCAAGTGCACCGCTTGCAGTTGTCGATAAGTTTTTGTATCTGAGTAGTCGTGTAACTGCTGGCGGAGGTGTGGCAGATGAGATTTCAAATAAAATCATGACAGCTAGAGTGGCATACGCCGAAATGTGTGGAGCCGTCACGGAGTCAGTCTGGCTGTCAAACATCGGGTTTACAACACCTCAGTGCACTCAGCTTCTTGCTCTACGCCTGTGAAATCTGGCTCTCCAAGTCGAGCATATGAGGCAATTCTGCGTATTCGATCATTCGTCTTCATAAAATTGCCTATGTTTGATGTCATCATCGTATGAGTAATTCTGAGGTTCGACGATATGTGTTTGGAGACAGTGGAGCTCACCACGTATTGAGTGTCGTCATCTGGAAACACCGGCTTCGGTGGCTTCGATACGTGCTAAGAATGTCATGGCTTTCGTATCGGTCTCTGTTTGGGACGGGATGGGAAAAGCGAGGAGGTGGTCAGCCCATGACGTGACGTCGTGGGATGAAGGATATTTGTGTTAGATTAGCATCATCGGTTGGTAAGTCATGGCTTCCTGGTTGGAAGAGTCCGAGAGATAGCTCGGATCGGTGTCTCAAAACGTTATCAGATACGGCCAATAAACGCAGTCAATGGAGAACGTGCTACAATTCCCTACTTTCTTCCCTTGCTGACAACAATTAGACGAATGTTGTTTGAAATTGTTAAAAATAGCTGCTTCCTTCATTAATTCTCTGCCTACTTTCCTTCTATTTTGTTGTTTTATCATTATTATCGTGTGGCGCGTCTTCTTGTTGTCATATTGTACCACGTTTTGTGTTTTATATAAACAAAATAGAAATCACACGATCTCACACCTACATGTCACCTTTGGACGCCCGAATCACCGTGTTCCTCATTATGCCGTCACCCACGGGCTTAGCGTTCTATGTCACTCAAAAGTCATCGCAGTATGTGCCCGATTCATCTCAATTTCCTTTTATATAGGGGACATAGCAGCTTGATAACTAGTCAAAGATTCAACGCTGCTGTTAAAAAGACTTTTTATGCAGCTAACATCATAATGATCAAGAATGTGAAGCCAAGGTACTCCAGTCCTGTAGCCTCATCATCTTACATTTGGCGGGAGTGGATCGCATTTCGAAGATTGCAGCTCAAGGTGACGATTGTACAATTAATGAAAAAATAAGAGAATAAAAAAAGCAAGTCGCCAAATGCAAACAAATAAAAAAACAAAAACAAACAAAACAGATAATGACAACAACTTACATTATCCAGCAGTTTTGTACTCAATCGTTCAATCAAGTGTAAACTAGAAGTGACCGGTGATAGCCCACCACCGCCACCAGTTAACACGGATTGATGATTCATCAGCATATCATAATCATGCTCTTTATCATTCATTACCAGTGTACTATCACCACTTAGTGAATAACCATCAGCATACAAGTTGTACTCTTCATCGAATAAATCACAAACACGAAATGGTGGACCACGTTCTAATATGAATTGATGAAAACGCATACTAGATAAAAGACGATCACAGAATTCATTATGTGCACTATTCCCACGTAGTAGTAAGTATAACGTCTGTTAAGATATAAGAAAAGACAAGAAGAAGAAGAGGATATGAGTGCATTGTATGTTAGGATAGTGACAATAAAGGGGTAAAGTCACATGAAAAGCACTTTATGCGTTTTTTCTTCTTTTTTCTAGTGTTAGGCACAGCACTCACCACCACTATTCACTTCACCAATCCAATTGTAGAGTGGTTTACCTACAGTACCCCTAAACAACTTATCATTTGAAAGATAGATAGATAATCGACAAGAGTGCTGAAAAGCTCTTTTAAACTAATCTCAATAGAACCTTATTAAACAAAGACTAATCAGAGTGTATAAATAGGCAAAGCAGGTAAGAATACACGTTGAAATTGAGATTAGATTGAAGCACTGAAATTTCAAACAAATAGAGCTACACTTTTTTTTCTCAAAAATGTTAACTGGGTTATCACAAAAAAGCACCTGAGAAGGCGCATCGTTCGCAAAAATCTCAGCGCATCTGTGCGACGAATGTAGACATCAACGGGAGGGCTGTAGATCTAGAACATCATGGTATCAGCATAGAACACCTATGCAATTCACAAAGTAATCTATCCAGTTGTTCTGACAGTACTATTGAGCATGAAATAAAATCTCTGAAGGATATTTTATCTAAGAATGGATATCCAGAGAAGTTCATTAATAAATACTCTAAAGAAATTAGCCCCTGCAAAACAATTCAAACAGTTCCGAAGAAACCTGTATATATCAGTTTGCCGTTCAAAGGAGATGATGTACAGGAAGTAGTCAAACGAAGACTCAATAAAGCCATCAGGAGAACTTATAATGCTGTGAAACTTGTAACCCTTAACACCACTAAGCGAGTGCTTAAACAATCTGGGAAAGACCAGTCGCCAATCCTCAACACTTCAGACTGCGTATATCAATTTGAGTGTGTTTATGGCAGCGAATACATAGGTCGTACGGAAAGGCGTACTCGCATGATGGAGCATTTGCCAAAATGGTTAAAAACAGCTGAGTACAAGTTGCCAAAATCCTCAATAACAAAACATCTTGTGGATTACGGACATGATATCGACGCGGTCAAGTTATTCACCATTGTCAGCACACAGACAAAGAAACAAGAAGATGCTTGTAATTGCAGAGGCTTATGCAATTCGAGTTTATAAACCAGGTCTCTGTATACAAAAGGAGATGGTCGTGATTCTGAATTTACCATGGTGATACGTTTTACTTATTATTCTTTACTGATTATTATTCTACCTCTTATTATTATTATTCTTGATTCATTTAAAACTATGCTTTATCAGCAGGATTATCTTAACTCACTTCAACACCATTATTACTATAACTATTACTATTGATATTAGTCTGTTTGCAATTCTCGTTATATTCCGTAATGACTAATTGTTTATCTAAGTGATGTAACTGAAGTGTAATGCAATTTATCTTAATTTTGATCTCTCATACTCTCTCTCCCGTAATCTATATGAACATGACATGTTAAACATTCCCACGTGTCTTTCTGCATGACTAATTCAATGTAGTTTGGTAACAGAATTTCATCATGAGCTGACATTGGTTGGAGAACCATTGGAAAACCTGGGAGTACTGGACAGCTGTTTCGCTTTAGTTTGGGACTCTTCATCAGTACGCACCCAGAGGTCTTCGAACCCAGGACCTTCTGGTTAAAAGGTGAGCTCGTATACCATGGGTGCTTGCTATTGAAGAGTTTCAAACTTGGACGAAACAGCTGTCCAGTACTCCCAGGTTTTCCAATGGTTCTCCAACCAATGTCAGCTCACGATGAAACCCTGTTAACAATCAACCAAATTCCTACAAACCACTACTTGAACATCAATGTACTCTGTTTATTTATCAGTCTTATATCTCCAATGTAATTTCAAAAGTATATATAAATATATATCCATGCATGTAGAGTATTCAGCTGACGAGTTCTACTGAAACTTGATGAATTCATTAAATCCTGCAGTTTCTGTGACTAGGAAAGCAAGACAGGCGTGTTCATGTAGCCTAAATTAAGTGTGAATATCTACAACACTCGTTCAGGACAAGTATGAAGACACAAATTTCTAACAATAATATCAAGTTAGTCACTGGATTTCTTTATATGGTGTTCAGAGGCTTTGAGGCGCCCCTGTGAACAAAAGCATTTCCAACAGACTATCGGAGACTTTCGCCAACAGCTGTTGTAAGTGGATGTGAACATTAAATGTTGATTCATTGACCTTGGTCGCCATTGGCGGGCAACTCGAAGACGTCAATGATTTAATCGTTTACAAGTTGGAAGAAGATGAAAGAATACGAATACAAGTACATTTGTTTATAGATTTTGCGCGATAACGAATTTAACTACCGAACAATACAATTTCTTATCGGTTCTTGTATTTTGGAGTTGAAGTCGATAATTGTACCTAGTATAATTGTCGATTTAGAGCGTCTTCGCAAATAACAGGAACTTAGGGTCAAGTTCCTTGACAGCTGTCTTCACTTGAAACTGAAAATCAAATAGTCAGTCAGAATGGATAATCAAGCGAAAAAGAGCTCGCGGAGTGCAGAGCACCAGCCAACAATCCCTATATTCCAACAAATAGGCTGAAGAAAACGGAAAGGAACATAACATACAATGAGAAAACATGCAAGTGACGTCATACATCAGGCCACCGTGCAAAACACGAACGCTAAACGAGTTGACGCATCAAAGGTTGATATGGAAGTCAAGTGAGGGGAAAATAAAATTTTATAGGCAGTCGTGGTACCAGGTGAAAATGATGGTAGTGAGCCTAATGGAGCGCGGTGCTCCACTCAGAATGCACAGAATGACTAACTAAATTGACTGGTTGAGAGTTTCAACGAAGAAGTTTGCATAGAATTGCTGAAGTTCAAGTTGCCACACCCCATGTAGCACAGAGAGGTAGACAAAAGATATTCAAAAGAACCCTAGTGAGCAGAAATGTAATCCCCCTGAGGTTATGATGTATATGAGAGATTTCATCTGCGCCAGTGAGAAGGATTTTCATCCACATTACAAAATGACAATTAACACTGTAAATCGAGGGAATTGGGATCACATGGTTTATAGAAAAATGTGTCCTAGCCACTTGAACTGATGTACATTCAAAACCTCATTGATTGGGAATAACCCTCCTTATCTAACAATGATAACAATAGTATGTTTTACTCCATTAGTATACACAAAATAATGTAATGTTAATTTTTTTTATTCTTTCACGTTTACAATGGAACATAAGGCTTCAAGTTAGATGCTTAAAGCTTCGGTAGCAGTAACGTTTATTCTTACGGGATGGGGTTACTAGCCAGCCTCAAACCCAACCTTCCCTCTTTACCAGTTTTACTACCGACCTAGCGAGGTAAGGGAGTGTGTCGATCAAGAATCGAACCCCAAACCACTGGCGTGGTCCGCGAGAATTCTACGACTGTGCCACCGACGTACAAGTAATGTTACACTGCCTGGAAAAACACTAACTTCAGAGCCGAAATTGTAAGTAGCAATGAATGCTGGTCACACACACACACACAAGTATCTGTCTGTCTGTTTCTGACATAGAACTTTGCACCGATGTGCACCACTTCAAGTCGCCTCACGCCCTCCTTGTAGCACACAAAGCAACAGAAGAAAGTAGAAGAAATGCATAATACAGACAGTAAACAGAGGTGTGAGGCAAAGGAATAGTGGTAACGAAGATCAATATAGTTTCATTGGAAATCAGAAGTCACAAGGAGTGGATGCATCTGAGCTATGCATTGAGAACGATTTTGAGCCATATCACCCACTGTTTCCAGCCTTCATTGGTTTTTAACGTCCCGAGAACCCCAACCAGTCAGGAAGTCTACACTTCCCTACGTGGCCGTTTGCCTTAAACTAACTGTTGTGGATTTCATTGACTGGTGGAGCCATGTTTTGGTTTAACCTCCGCTAGCTCTTTTCCAGCCTGACCCTATATCCGCTAACATTGCCAATTGTGGAGGAAGGCGATGACTAGTCATACGTAACACATGTCCTGACCATCTCAGTTGATGTAATTTCACACCTTCATCGATTGACTTCCACTCCCACCTACCTAGCACTCGACCGAAGCCTAACCTCAATATTTCTCACCTTATTATACCACTTCACACGGGAGATAGAGTGAAGGACGGAGAGGACTGATGAGCAGTTCACCTGCCCTTTGGTCGATAGCCAGCCAAATACCACGTCTACGCCAGAGACGGCGTAAACTGGCATATGCGAAACTAACACACACGTATAACTCACATGATGACTATATTTCAAGTCAGCCTTATAGATAAAGATAGATAGAATTAAGTCGAATGAAATACATACAAAAGGTAGGCGAAAACCCAAATATTAGAGACGCTAATAATCACAATCACAAACAGACGCGCACACACACACACACACAAATATGCGGCTATAGAATGACACGATAAATCAGGATGAATAAGAATTGGCGAATAAAAGATGTATATGACACAAGAAAACAAATAATCATTGTTTATTATAAACTATTATATGTATACGTTATACTAAAGAAAAATCTTAGAGTATATGCGTTACCATACACTTGTTGTATGTTGTAGATAAATGTATATACACAGACATATCAAAGTTGTCAAAAATGGTTAATAAGTTGATATTATTAAAATTTATATGAATGAGAAACTAGTGAATTATTAACCTAGTGTGAATGAATAACTTTCGAATATAAATCACGTTAACACAAAACAATGATATGTGAAGATGAAAAATACCTTTGAAAATGAAAACACTGCATAGAAATGAATACAGAAAGATTACACTACATTACATAATATACTGATGTATGTATGCATGTGTGCGTGTGTATAATGTGTCAAGTTGAGGTTGTGAATCAAAAACCATATTATTGATTAACCACCATTTAAAGGTCTCAAAACCGAGTTGATCAACAAACAACATCAAGACACTACTCCAAGATCTATTATCTAACACCTCACAACCTAGAA